TTGTTTTTAAGTAGAAAAAAACTGCCTGTGTATATGAGTTTGGACCCTGACCAAAGAAAACACACAAAACCTTTAGAAACTCATGAAAGTCCTTTAATCTGGATTAATTTTACGCGCTTCAAACAAACTCTAGTCTCAGAAACTTGCAAGTTATTTAAAAGGATCCCCTTTAACAGCTTCAAATCACTTGTCTGTTAGCATCACAAAACTTCCAGAAAAAGTGAAACTTCCAACGGATCAGACTCTGTAGCTTTTCTTCTACAGCATTTTCATTAATTTTTCTAATACGTCATCCCCCTTCCATTAAATTATTGGGTACGCTGCAGAGTTTGAACAACTTCTTCCCCGTGTTTTGTTCTATCATCTAACTATTTAATTGCTTAGCTAGAATACATAAGATGTTTTCAAAGAGCTGCAGGATTTACAAAGGCCTTTCCTGTCTCAGCATCTTATTTCTGAATTTAATGTTTTGAACAGTATAATTAATAATGTTTTTGTAATACAGAATACAGAAAAAAGACTCAAGAAACCCAGGTCTTATTTTGACATTTATTACAAATTTCCTTCACATCAGGTCAAGCTAAACAAACTTCACTCAGCATCTCTGTGTCTGATTCTTCATTTGTAAAAAGTAATAAATGTTTATTTGATTACTTATCGAGCACTTTAAAAACCTGATCCTGTTATGAAACAATATTGCACCTTCCTTTGGTGAGGAGACCTTAGATGAAAGCCTTATCTCATGCATTATTTTCTAGACAGATGTGTAGTAACTTTACTGAGCAAAAAAGTTGTTTCATCAAATGGACTGAATATTCAAAATCATATTTGACTCTCTCTGGTTTCTTATTCACTGCATTTTGAAGGAATTAATAAATAAAAATTCAAGTTCCTTTGTAATCAAATAAAAAGGTTAGTCTAACATGTGAAGACATCTGGGAAGATCTTAAGCATGTAGCAAAACCAATTTTGTTCCTGGCTACCTTTTAACAGCATTCACCCACAATAGGAAGTTGTGCTAAAATACACACAGGCTCTGAGGTTACCAGGCAGATCATCTGAAGAACTCTTAGAATATTTATTAATGGATGAACAAAGGGAACCCTGGAGCACCTCAGCGCTATTCTCACGGAACAGGGATTACCCTTCTAAAGTTTAATAAAAGTACATCAGCAATAAAACCCCACCCCCCTCATTTAATTTATACACATCTTCCCACTGAGGAAAACAGCGTGAAATGTGAACGAGAGGAAAGGAAGAAAGTTTGCAGTAACCACGTTTTTTCCCTAGTGTCAGTATGCTCACACTGTCGGGTCACACCTAGATGTGGTGGGCAGCATAATTCTTTGTACAGCCCAGTCGGCACCCTGCGGGGGGACGGTAACACAAGGCCACTGCGTCAAGAGCTGCTTCTTGGGACGTGAGCATACCACTGCTCTTTCTCAGACTGTTTATGGACTCTGACCACCAGGTATTCAGCACAACTTTTTTGGTCTAGCACTTCAAGAGAACCGTAATTTGAAGCAAATACCGTGGTGATTTTTAGGAACGTTAAACTCTCTTCCCGTCTGTGGTCCTCAAACACCAGTCAGGACAGCTGGGTGCAGTGCATATGTACTCTTTTATCAAGTGTTTGTGGTCGCAGAGTCTCCCCATTAATTTTGGAACTGTCTACTCTTTTTTTTTTTGTAAACTTTTTTTTTTTTTTTTTAATTAATTCTTGCTTTTATGAAGCATTGTGTGTAGTATGGCAAGGTGTTTGTGAAATGTATAAAGACTTTTCTCATTTTCCAAAGTAGAAAAATAAAAAAGACTGCAGGAAGGGAATACATGTAGAGTTCTGAGCCATTTCATTTTATAGTTTTTTGAAAGAGTGGAAGTGTGAAGAACGTAATGTAAAAATACCGCTGTGTCATTTAAATACAAACTTTTTAAATCCAAAGGTCATTTGATCTTTCTATAAAGAAATAAACAGCAATCTTGTGAGGTTTTATGGTGATAATTTTCAAGAACAAAACTGAAGGGAAATGTATTACTTTTACATTTCTAGATTGTTGCTTGCTTACTTGCATCTGTATGTGGAAAAGCGTGCGAGTGTCTTCTGCTCCAGTATTACCTTCTGATATCTTGCAGACCTTTAGTCCATGAATCACAGCCTGAAAAACACTATGTTAAAGCAGAAATGAGCCTAACTAAGATGTAACACCCTATCTCACTACCTGCAGACATTTGGCATTCTCTTACTTGGTATTTTTACTGGAACTCTCACATTCATGCATTCCTGTGTTGCATTCTACCCAGCCTTGTGAGAAAGCACGGAACCCGCTCAAGAGTTCTGGGCTACATTTCTGACCTTGCCTAATAATCCCTTAAGCAAATACTTTAATCTACCCGTGCCTCAGTTTTCTTACTGTAGAATGAAATTGTGAGGCTAAATCACTTGAAACATTACTTTTTTTTTTTTTTTTTTTTTTTTTGTGAGGTAAGAGGATTCAAATGTTCACTGTGCTATTTTTAGTCTTTCGAGGAACATTCTTAATATTCTCCTAGTAAAGCGGATGTAACTTGTATGTCTCCTGGAACTGATGAGTACATGTAGCTCTCCTGAAAGAACAGCCATTTGTGAAATGGTTATTCTCCATTTACTCTGGAGACTCAACAGTCTTCTGAAAATTTTCAAGGTTAATCTAGGTTATTTTATGAGATGCTGGTTTAGAAGAAATCATCCTGTAGTTTGATTTCTATTCAGGCGTACTTGTCAAGCCACATTCAGTATCATACTTCTTATCCCCATTGTTAAATCAAAAGTATGTAACTGCTTATATACTACAGTACAATATATATTGCACATTTACTACTATTTAAAAGTAACATTTGAGCTCTTCTTAACAGCTGTATCTGTAGCACACACATAGATTGGATTGCCCATTTCATTTTAGATTAGAGAAGTTTTAAGGAAAAGATATGAAGTCCTTTCTATGGAGATGAATCAAACACAACTATCAAATCGAAAATAATTCTTCAAGCATATTTGAGAGTTGTAGTCAGCACATTTCAGGAATGCTCTTACAGTGAAGGATGATAATGAGAAACCCATCCCATACTTTTGATCAATACTTGCTTTTTTTGAGATCTAGTCAAACAATTGACAGCACATAGGGAACATCTGAGAAAAGTTGTGGCCACTTTGGATTTAGTTAATACTTGAAGAATCTCCAACTGTAGCAGTATTGAAGCAAATGCATTCAGACAGGCTAAACAAAACCCCAGCCTTTTAGTGTATGGAAACATAATATCTGGACGTCTCTGCTCTGATACTTTATAGGCAGAATCTTGTTAATAAGAAGCAGGATGGGTTTATTGAAACTGTACATTTTGCTTAAAGCAGAACTGATTATTCTGGCTCAATAGAGAAAAATTAGAGGCAGAATGAGGTCTGGTTCTCTCTTCATCCAACAAAGACAATATTTTTTCACCAAACTTTTAGACGGCATAGCAGAATTTGCTTTAGAACTCTATGGCCTCATTGTTAAGACTGTTTTCCGACTGACAGCCTGAAGATCAGCTTTTCACTAAAGGAATGAATGAAATATCTATTAAATTTTTGATTTTATTTTCTGTATCACTGTCTTAAAATGTTTTCACAATTCCGGTAATCTGATATTAAAGGTGACAGTACTTCAGTTGAAATGCTATCATGTGTGGTAGAAGGGTCCACTTCTTTCAAACAATCTTCTGCTCTTTCCTATGAGCAGTAATATCATAGGACATTCACAACAGTTCAGATTCTTGAACATCTGTAGGAGTACCTAGGATTTCTAGTATACATATCTACTATTCCTAATGTAGCCCAAGTTTTCAAGGAAATCTTCTATCTAAGTAGTGTCATGATGAACATACCATGGAATGATAGTTGTTTTAAGCTATTTACTACCTCTAAAATTGCAGCATGTGAAAATGGTGGCGATGAAAACATAATGTTTTTTTAAGGTTTAAAACACCCAGCAGATTAACAACAGCAAAGCATTGTCCTTTTAATTTCCTGGCTCATCCCTAAAACCCCCGTTTTGGCATGTCTTTTAATCTTCCATGCCTGTCTCCCACTTCGCAGCCCAGCAGAAGCAAGTGTGGCTGTGCACACATTTGTACCTGACAACAAAAGAAGGAGATGCAGCGGTACTGGATGGCAAATGGATCAGACCTGCTAGGTGAAGCAACACTGTATGATTTCACTCGGACATGAAGAAAAGGAGATTGGGGTGGGGAGGAAAGAGAATCAGAAGAGGAGAGTCAGAATCCATGCTGGCCCTTCAAAGGCATGGGTTTTCATAAATTCTTGCAATTATTCAATTTGCAAAATGTTCTGGTGCACTCAAAACAAGCACAAATATAAGTATCACGGACCCGTTAAAAAAAAAAAATAAAATCAGTCAGGACTAAATAACCACAGGTTTAGTCAAAGCGTAGATATAAAGCTTCTTTGGAGAGAAGCTCCATTGCACAACTGTGTGAAACCGCAGAAGGTAAAATCAGAAATGGTCAGACAGGTAAGTAGGAAAGTAGGTAAAATCATTAGGCATGTAACGAGGAAATGTGTAAAGTGCAGGCTCTGGGGCTGGTGGGGCTGGAGGGCTCGGTTTCGGCCTGGGCATCAGTCGTACAAGATGGAGAACTGATGCACCGCCTCGTCCCCCAGACACCCGGCGGCCTGCGTCTCGCCCTATTTCCTGGACAGGGGTTATCGCCACACGGCGTTAGCCTGACGAAGGACTTTCCAAACTCATTTTGGCTTAAAACGCCGAGATTTGGCCCAGCTACCCCTTGGAAGGTTTCAGCTCTTGGCCCAGCGCGGGCGCGGTGCCTGCTGGGAAGTGTAGTCCGTGACCTCCGCGGGCGGCCGCCCGCGGAGGTCACGGACTACACTTCCCAGCAGGCACCGCGCCCCCGAGGAGGGGCGGCCGTGGCGCGGCGGCCCAATAGGCGCGGGCGATGGTGGGAGGTGAGCGCCGGGGCGGGCGGGTCCCTCAGGGCCCCTGGCAGTGCGGGAATTTCGGACGGGGCGGAAGGAGCGGCGGCTGGGCCTGGGCACGGAGGAGGTATTTGAAGCCGGCGTCTGCTGTTGGGGTGTAGTGTTTTTTTGTTTTTTTTTTTTTTTAAAAAAAAAAAAAGGAAGCGAGTTTCGCCTCCCCTTCGGCCTGCCGTGCGTCCCCGGCCTTTTTGGCGGGTTGCGGTCGGGTTTTCCCGCTTCCCTCGCTAAGGAGGCTTGAGGTACCTGTGGGGCCCGCTCCTCTGCAGCCGCGGGTGGGGAAAGCACCATCCCAGCTCCCCCCCCCCCCACCCCTCGTCCAGGCCCGTGGCGCCGGGGGTATCCCTGGGTCGGCAAGGAGGGAGAGAATGGGGGCAAGTGGGTAAAAGCTCCCACAGTTTCACCCCAGGGCTCTGCTGCACCCTCCCTTCCCCCGCCTTCGTGGGCTGTTGGCTGTAAAGCTGCCTTGGGTGGCAGCGGCCTCAGTTGCTTTCCCTCGTGGTTGTTGTTTTTTTTTTTTTTTTGTGCTAAGGCGAGGTGGGGGAGGTGGAATAAAAGCTATGCTCGGTGCCATTTAGAGGTTTGTCACCTTTAGTAACGTCCTGGTGTGGCTAAGAAAATACCGTCTAAGCTGGGAGGCGTTCCTGAGTTTTTGCTTTAAAAAAAAACATTAAAAAACCCCCAAACAAACAAAATAACCCACACCTACAAATCAGAAAAAAAAAATAAATCTGTAATTTTAGGATCAGAACAGACCTGTTGTGTAAGAACTAGGCTGAGCTGATTTCTTTCTGGCAGTGGTTGTTTTTCTTCACTTCCTATTTCTCGCCATTTGCCTTCCTTGTTTAAGAATTATTCAGTTGCAGGCAGGGCGAACCCTGTTGCTTTCTCTGTTTTTCAACTTGTACCAAGGCTTTTATTAATTCATAGAGAATCCATGGGCCTTTCTTATAATTAGCAAAAATATAAAAGCTGTTGTAAAGCTTCCTGTGGTTATTATTGTGTCAAAAGACTTGTGCCTTTCTCTGTAGGAATAAGATGTCCACTTAATTCTTGGGGATAATCCCCAGATGAGGTAGGATTCTTAATGAATTTCAGAGCTGTTGATTTTTATACAGTGTGCCAAACTATGCAAAAGCCTTTTAAGTTAAGTGTGTCACACACACGCGCGTAGGTACTTGCTGTTGTTTTGGTGGTGAGGTGATTTGGAATGACAGATGATTTCATACCTCATAAAGCTTACTGTGTTCTTTATCGCAGTAACTATCTGAGTGATGCTTAGAATTTTCAGGATAACCTTAAATACTGTTCAAAAGAAGAAAATGTATGCTTGAGAAGGCAGTTTAAAATTAATTAGCAACGTAGTAATTTCTGTTGTACATGTCTGTTTCCTATCTCTGAACAAACTGCATTCTGAAATTTTAAGAAGTCATCTCTGTGTTTTTTAAAAACAAAACAAAACAAAAGGCATTCAGTTTTCCCAGTATAGTGCTACTGTGATGAAATGCTTCTTATTGATTTTGGTCCTCCAATGCACGTTTATTAATTTTGTCTAAACACGTTTCCTTATTTCTCGGGGAAGGAACTGTAGTGCCTCTTCTTCCATAAGTACCATTATTTCTCACATGTCTTAATTGCCAGGAAATGAGATTATAGTGGTACTCAAAAATGTAACACTGATATGCTAGTCATAGAATGTCCCATTTATGCAAGAAAGCCTTTGTTTACTATCTACTTCACTTGGTACTACAAGTCACTGATACTTCAAGTACTTTTTTCTTTTTTTGGTCCCTCCTATGAAAGCAGTTCTACAATATTCAGAAGTCTTAAAAGTGTCACGTTCTTTCTCACTTCTTGAGCAACAACTAGCTTTTGTTTCTTGCTTGTCTTTATTTCCTTTTTTGCAGGCAGACTTAGATGTCTTGCTATGACTGATGAACAGTATTAATGATGCATAGATTTCAGGTCTTGCTGCGACTACCTATTCATGAAAAGGAGCACAGGTCACCAGCAAGCCTGCTCTGTGTTGAGAATGAAAATAGGTCCTACTGAGATAAACAACCGTAAAAATGACAGTTTCCAGAGAATAAGAGAGGAGGAACAGGAAGAAACCTGTGTGAATTGCCACACCACAGAAATACTTTATTAAAAATAAATTTGGTTTATATTAATTTTTGAGTTTTATTGAGAATGGATGCCAACAAAAATTGAGAAGTGTCTACTCTTATTTATTCTAAGAGTTCAAGTATCACTAGAGTAGCAACCATTGCAGACAACATTTGTAAAGATAACACCACTAACAGCACTACTGATACAAAATTGTCTGCATACCTCAAGTACAGTGTATTCAGTTTCTTCCAAGATGTTTTATTAGGGAGAAGCAGGGTACGTAGCCTTTGTAGTACTAAGAGGCTTTTGGAGAGAGTTTAGACAAATAGACTTCTGTTATTCGTACTTGTTAGTAGCAAAATCTTTGTTTTGAGCATATGGTAGCCACATGAAATGATGCTGTTTACAATCATGCACCTTGAAAATTGTTCTTGTCAGATACCTTAGCTAAGTAGGGTCAGGTCTGTTTGATACTTGAATGATAGTACAGTACTTGACATCTGTGGCACTCTATTTCCAAGGACTTCAGCATGGTTGCAGGCACTAATGAATTAAGCTTCACAATACCTGTGGGATAGAAAATATTTCCATTTACTGATGGGGAGAGGTAATTGAGATGCAGGAAAGTTAAAGGTGATATTTTTTTATTTTTTTTTTTGGTGTAGGGGTGTGTGCGTGTATTTATAAGGGTGATCTTGGGGAGAAGTAGGTGACTTTATTACAATTGTGCAGTGTACAGTAGGCAGCTCTATATAATCTTTGCTCGTTCATAAGTTCTCTGACAAACCCCTCATGTTTGCTGGTTAGTGAGTTGAAAAGCAGATAGAATGATAGAATTTGCACTTAAATATCATTATCTTCTTTTTTTTTTTTTTTTTCAGTTCTGTATTTTCATAGAAAATATTTGCAGTCTCCAGGTGGTTTTGGTTTCAATCAATAGGAGATCCTTGGATGAATTTATCCAAATAAATGTGAAAGCATGTGCAGCCATTGCTTAAATATTTCCATGGATAACAGCTTTTTTGCAAAAGAGTGACTGCTTAGTATTGTACATGCTGCCCATTGAAAGCGATCAGTGTTTGGCACCTATGGCCTACTGATAGTTTGACCAACTTGTAAGTAGGCACGGTGCCATCTTAACAGATGGATATGAATATAGACAGCCAAGAAACCATGTATGTGTATCTAGTGTATTTGTTAAGGGCAGGGTTCCCAGCTGGGGACGTTCAAACTTATGTCCATTTTGAATTTTTGCTTTTATGTCTTAAGGGAAGTTGTCATTAATTTATTTATTTTTTTAAAAACTGAATACCTTCAGGCATACCATTATTGACCATGTTAAACAAAAAAAAAAAGGAAAAAAAAAAGAGGGAAACACCAGCTCCTTTGATACTCTTGAGGACATATTTTAAGTGAACGCAATTCCTTTTAAAGTGAGGATACTATCAAGGCTCACTGTGAATGTCAAAAATGTGAAGTGTATCAGCAGTTTTATTTCACTGGCTTGCTAGCTTTATTGAAAAAAAGGCTACAAAATTTTTTTTCACTGGGCAGCAATCTGTCCAACATTCAGGCACCTAAGTGCATCTGTCCAAGTCTCACTGGAATTATTTGTAGTAACTCAGAGGTCAAGGGATGCAGTCCTTCAGGCCCTCTTCATGTCTCTCATATTGTTCTTGAGGACAGTATGCTCATTTTGTATACGTTTTTGTACCCTTTAGATGACAGTCAGTGTGATCTTGTCCCACTTCTGAGTCGTTAGGCAACAACACTGCTGATTTTTGAGCATTTTTTTTCTCCTTATCTGAGTCAGTTTTGCGGCTTCAGACTTCTGGTTTATTTTTCCAGTACCACGTCTAATGGTTTCTTTCTGTTCTTTGTTTTAACCCTTTTCCTGATCTTGGTGTCCTGAGAAGCTGCTTAAAAGGTCTGCTGTGATCTTTTTGGCCTGCTCTTGTAAGTAACACAATTACATTCTCATTGGTATGGTCTTAGCTGAGCTAGCTGGAATTGCATTTGGTGCTTGGGAATCATATTTTTCTCCTGTAGAAAATCTGGAGGAAGAACCTTCCTCTAAGACAGGGCATTATGTATCACCTTGAAGATTTAAAAAAAAAAAACCTGAAGTGTAGAGAGTAGTTTCTTGAAGGGTATGGATAAAGCTACGGGTAAAATTAGTCTTAAAGTTTAAGTGTAAAATGTCAAAGCTATATCTTGATTATAGGGAAGAATGTTATTGTATAGAAGTGGAAATACGGGAAAGTAATGCAGAATTAAAACATCCTGTTCTGTGGTAATGAGGAAGCTTGTGCAGTGCAGGTATTGATAAATACCAGTCTCTTCCTGTGATGTGGGTATTTCACAATACTGTTTTGTTGAAGTTATTTATGGTTCTGTGACACAGAGATACTTCTCAGATTAACAAGGACCCCGAAAAAGCAGGACTTTTCTTTGGCATGGAATTATATACCTTCTCTTCTGCGTTTAGTCCTATATTATTGAATGATTGTGGTGTCAGCAGACTGCTTGCTGCCAGCATCCAGTGCTCTCTGACCAGATTCTTTCAGGTCTTCCACATATGGAGAGCATAATATTAAATAATCAAGTTTACTTATTTGAAGATAGTTAATGCTATACCGGATTTCTGATTTAGGAGAGTGATTGATACAAAATGTACTGAAAACTTATACAAATGTAAGTTACACTTGGCAAAATACAGCAGTTGCAATACACAGTTCAGTCACAGTGCCAGCGTGATTCCCGTTACCTGTCTCTGTAACATGCTCACTGTCACGGTGCATCCCCGGCTACCAGGAAGGAACACCTGTGTTGAAACCAGCTCAAGCCCATTGCTCTCTCCAGAATTCTTTGCTAGTTGTTTAGTTTCTATACTCTTCTGTTGGGCTGAGCCTCCTATTGATTCCCCTCGCTGTCTCAGGGAGACATTTACACCCCCATTTGATCCACTCAGCAGTTTCGGGCTCCACTCAGATGTTGTTCAGCTGCTTATCTAAGAGAAAGGCCACCCACCAGTCCCCTCAGCGTTGCGCTGCAGTGAGCTCCTCTGCATTCTCACCAGAGCTCCTTGGGCACATGCCGTGGCCCAGCTCCAGAGCGGTTCCATCCGTTGTCCTTTATCCAGTCACATTCCACCCGGCGGGGTTCGATCAGTCACAGCTACAGATTTAAGTATTAGTGGACAGAAGAACATTTCCAGGAAACTTGACAGTTATTCTTGCATTTAGTAAGTAGAGAAATAGGTATTGGCCACTCTCTTCAGATATTAGTTGGGGGACAGACATTACGTGGGGAAGAAAATTTCCTGAAGATACTACACAGTCAGAAAAGAGGCTTGTGGACGGGGGAGCTCTTTTGGAGCAGCTGTCACAGTTATGCAGTTTTCTATTTGGGAAATTAAAAAAAAGTCCTAGAGAATCATTAGAACTAAAAGAAGAAACTGATGTTAAGTAACTGCATTTGGCTTAGGGTTATTGTATGGAGCAGACAGGCTAATGGGAAAAAGATATTTTGCTATCCAGAAGCTTCTGGAATTGTGTATTACTATTCCTTCCCGCTTCCCCAAGCAAAATAAAATAATAATGATAATAATAAAATCCCACCCGTTAAAATGGTATCTTTTAAAAAATAACTGTGGCTCTGTTTGTATGATTTTTATCTTCATAAGTTAGAGGGAAGGATCAGTTCTTTGTAAAACAAGTCATGCAGGCCTTTAATGTAAAAAGATCTAGTGCACTCTTTGCCGTAGCATGGCTGCATATTTAGTAAGTTCTTTTACTGAATCAAAATTGGGCTCTGCTAAGAATTCAAAACATTTATTTATTCAAAATGAGGCCTATTCTTTGGGAAGATGCACGTGTTTTGTTCTAGTGGGCTATTATGTTATATCTGGAAATATTGCTTATTTGAGACCTGAGGTGGGGAGAAAGCAACAGCAATACTTTTGCATTTATGATCTCAAAATAGGTAGTTATGTACTAGTTTGCTGAGCTACTAAATGCTGCCCCGTGAACAGTAAGCAGACTTTCAGTTTTGTTGCTTGCAGTTATATAGGAGAAGAAATAATTAACTGTTTGGCTTAATTTTGGGGGGCATTTTTTTACAGCTAAGAGGAGTTCCTCATACTATTACTGAAGACTTGGACTATATGACACTTTTTTAATATGCATGGCTCACTCCAGGAAAGCTGATGAGCTTTATTTAATTTGTTTGCTTTTTTCTAAGTTTAGATCTATGATTGGCTGTGATTGATTGACTACAATAGATTCTGAGACTTTTTTTTCTAGCTTGTATTATACAAGGTCTTCTAATAGGTTTCTCTTGTGAAGATTTTTGCTGTCAGTTTTTTTTTGTGATGTCTGGAAAAATTAATTTTTCACTTAGAATTCATGACAATGAAACTACTTCCTCTATTTCTTTTAAAGTGTTTTTGTAGTAACAAATTAAAACTTAAACAGTCCACGCTTTCTCATGCTTCTAACAGATTCCTACGTAAGTCCGGTCAGCATGTAACCTATGCTTTTTTTCTGGGTTTCTGTCCCTTCGCTCCTTTCTCTCCAAGGAAAATGCCATATAATAAGAAGACTGCTGGAAAAAGAGCCCCCGCAAAAAGGAAACTTGCTGAAGTATTTGCTCTGGGGGAGGTTTTAGCAGATACATCACGAAAAGAGTGGAAATTAGGTGTCCCTATCGGGCAAGGAGGCTTTGGACGCCTATACCTTGGTAAGTGTAGTGACTTTTGATAATGCTTGAAAACTGAAAGTGAGATGCTTATCCTTATTTAAAACAATGGAAAACTGACCTTAAGTTAGAAACGCAGAGGGTCTTGAAATGATCTTTTTTTATTAGAACCTGATGCTGTAAAAAATGTCAAGAGTGGACAAATGGCCATTGTAAGAACTGTGGTTTTGAGATTCCAGTGGTAGTTCATTCATTTTTTTAAAACCAAAATCTTTATTACTTTTTAGCAGTGAAAGGGTAGTTTAGTATTTATTTAAATTTTATTTTTGGTTTGTATGAAAGAAAGGATTTTTGCGTGAGTGTCCTTACCACAAATTCTGAACTAAAACTGTCTCATCATATTCTGTGGAGGCTACTGATCAGTCAGTATTTTGGCTGCTTTTGACTTTGGTGCGGCTTTTGACTCTTCCGTTGCCTTGAAAACTTCTGACATGTCATATACTTTTTTTATGTAACCAGTGCTTGAAACAAATTGAAATCTTGGACTTTACAGTTTAAAGCATCAGCACAGATCTTGTTTTGCAATGTTGTTTATTGAATTCAAAGAAAACTTCTTATAGTGGATAGCGTTCCACACTTAGTATCTCTGTTATTTGAACACATGAACAGATAAGAGGGATCTTGAGGATATCTGAGGGAATCAAAAAAACCTTGATTGCTCCTACTCATTTTCCAGAGAATTTTGAAGGGATGAGAGTTAATGTGATCATCGTAATAAGGTTTTCTTTTGCTATGCATTTTTGGTCTTCTTCCTCTTGGTGAAAAAGTTGTACTGACTTCATACTGAGTTGAAAAAAGAAAAGAATAATCTGTCTTGCTTTCAAAATGAACAGACTGCAGCATAAGTGGATTAAGAAGAAACAGGACCAGTGGGTGGCTTCTTGCCAAAGAAGCTCTCTACTACTTAGTCAGCCTTGCTCAATGAGCTACTGAATTTACTGAGACTGGAGTTCCAGCTCACTCTAAGTGTATAGTACTTCATGTTAAGAACTCTTCCATTGTTCAAGCCAAAGCTTGATCTCTGTTTGCTTCCCCATGGTTTGCACAAAGCTGTGCCCCTGACTGTTCCCTGTACTTTGCGCTTGCCTAATTTGATGTCCTTCTGTCACAAGTATTTGACAATTTACAAGCTTTGTACCAACAGAAAGTCAACTTTTGGATATGTGACATGGCAAAATAGTAGAGAGAATGTGTTTTTCATCTTCATGTCCGCAACTGTGTATGTTCATCACAGTCCTAGAAAATGAAAGAAATGCTACTGACTAGGAAAAAGTTATTGAATAATAAAGAAAAGAACCCTTTTATTTAGTAAACTGCATCTTCTCCACAAACAGAAGGGAGAATGAAAGACTATCCATATAGAGTAGTCTTGCTGCGTAGAGTTGTTCCCTTACCAAAGTCTAAGGTACTGATATATGTTCATGTCAGGACTTAATTGCTTTGTCATTTGTTTATCCGTGCTGCACAGCAAATAAGTGTATGTTTTGTGACAGTTTCCTGCTACTAATAGATGCTTCCTTTTTAACAGCTGATGTTAATTCTTCAAAGTCGGTTGGCAGTGATGCACCTTATGTTGCAAAAGTGGTAAGAGAGCATTTGAATCTTTACTTCACAACTTGAAAATGTTTGCTTTAGAATAGCATGTGTAATTTAAAACATCTTTCCACTGGAAATAATACAATTGCATAGTGCTGTTTAAAATAAAAGTGTGGTGATGTAGAGGAACGCTGGGGAGTTACTCCTATGTATGAGGGTGGATAATGGAACATCAGCGGAGTTGAAAAAGGTTGATGAAATGGATCAGCTTCTGCTTCATGTGCTGCTTCCTGTAAAGAGCCCAAATCTCACAAAATGCATGAAATCTGGCTAGCTTTTGGAGAATTTCTGTGATTATACAGTGAGTCTGTGTGAACTGTTGCTCACCACTGGATGTTGGTAAGCTGACAGATGGCTTGGGAGTAGAAACAGCAAAACTTTGATTCCCAAGGTCCCTACAGATATAAAGTCCTTTAAATGTTTGATCATAAAACACATATGTATTCTAATTTCTATTGAATTAAAATGGCATTGACACATAATTTTTTCAACCTAATGATTACAGAGAAGAAAAAGCATTGTTGATAGCGTATTTTTAGCCCACTGTAGCAAATCAGCAAATTCTTTATATTAGTTGAAATTTTCTTATGTTTTTATTCTTAAAATAAGAAATATTTATTTAACATGATTTGGCTATATTGTTCTCTTCCTAAGGTATAAAATATTTTTTCTTAAATTTTGCTAGATTAATTTGTATAGATCCTACTATTACGTATGATTCCCTGGTAAAGTCTCAGTAAAAAACCTGGAACAGCCACAGAAGCTCCAGACCATTCATTATCTTGGTGATACTTCTGGGCCTGTGACAAAAGCAAATAGCAGAAAACTGTACAAAAACTTGACAATGTAAAAAATTAGTTCTAAGGCTCAGTTCAGAACTGCAGTGTTTTAATATTTTTTTAAGGTATATTGTGATACAGGAATCCTTTACTGCAGTAGCTGGCCACTAATGTAAATAGGGTGATACTTTTAACGTTTGTTCCTGAGACTAAAAGATCAGGTTAGGTTAGAAAAAAACCACATCTGAGTTAGTATGTGCCTTTAATCTTGGTATTTCTATCTGCTGACTCCAGGGAGATGATAGAGTGTTGGTTTTGATACTGTTCAGACACCCCCAGACGCTGTTGATGAAGACCCTCTTTCTGAAATGTCACTTGCTGCCAAAAGCACTGCTTGGGATTCAGGTGTCAAACTACCCCCTTCTCAACATCAGTGCTGCCTCGGGTGTTTGTGGGCAGGGCACGCGGGCGGGCAGCCCCAGCCTCTGAGAGGCATTGGCTCCTCATTACTGGCCGAGTTTGGACTGATCAGGAAGCAGAGTGCCATTTAACTTGCATGGAGGAATCCAGTTTGACTTGCCTGGAAAATCATCAGATACGTGTTATTTTATGCTGTGCATAATTGCTGTCCTCCTCTTTCCCCGGGTTTGAAACCTGTCTGTCTGCTTCTCTTCCACTCTGGGCTCTGAATATAGGAAGAGTTGTCGTAACTTTTGGGTTGCTTCTATGCTCGATTCACTTCGTTGCAGCAATTTGTAAATATACCCATTGCTAATCTCTCAGGTGACTACTCACTTTTAATTTGTCTTTTATAATTTTGTCTTTATGGCAGTAAAGAGTAGCCCCAGTCTTTGTGCTGCCCTCACACATGACCCATAACATTTTATGCCTCTACAGTGTAGCATAACACAACTACAGATAAGGGCCTATTTTCTGATGCCTGGGTGATTCCTAGTTGATCCATCAGCTGAAGCAAAGTGGTTAACAGCCTTGAACAATTATTAGTGTTTAACAAAATACGTGCTTCTATAGTAATGTTCTTCAAATTAAGCTATTAAAGTGGAATGGAAATTGGCTTAGTCTTTGACATATCCTCATAGTATTGGTGTCTGAGCAGTATGAAATGAATTACAGTTTTTATTAAAAAAATAAATGCTTTTTAACATGTGGACCTTTCAGATGTCATTGTTCAGGAGTAGATGCAGAGTTTAATAACAATTCATTAAATTGCTGACTGAAAAAGATCAGAATTCTTAAAATATTACTTGAAGAAATTTGTTGGGTTTCAACACGTACACCATAATCTCTTTCATTATGGTATCTTTTCTAATTAGACTTTAATTTCAGTTTTGTAAATCGTGTTTAGGATGACCTTGGGCACAAAGTTGTAGAAATTTGTGTTTGAAGTCTTACAAGATGACTATGGCAAATATTGGACATCATTACATGAGCCTTTTTAACGTAGCGTATGCATTTGTTTATCTGCAAGTAGAAGTAATGGTATTCTGGGGAAACAGCTTCGTAGCCAACATGAAGATCTGTTTTGTGGTTAAATCATTTATCCATCCCCTCAAGTATGAAAAGATACCAGGTTTTTAGCATTTGCTCTAACTAGAGAAAGACATTTTTTTTTCAGCACTGAGACATGCTTTTCTGTGGAATAATGTATTTAAAGATAAATATTTTAAGAATTTTTAACACCTACAGTTTTCACTATAGTTTAGTAAGAAAATAACATTCTTCAAACCTATGTAAGTTGACTCAATAATATATATTATTTGTATTCTAATTAAGTTAGAGTATTAATGAATTATGCTACACAGAAATGAGCGAATAGGTCAAGTAACTTTTGTCCAGGATAACTGCAGTGTAAATATTCAGCTGTTTAATTAACCCTGCTTTCCTAACCTCTGTATCACTAACTTGGCATCCCTCGTGAGTAAATAAACTAACTGAAAGTAGATACGCGCGTACCGAAGTTCATGCGTATGGATCAGTTGGTCTGACTGTGGGTTCTCTTCAGCTTTATGGCTTAAGTGCCAGAAGGACTTGGTGCCGGGAGGCAGGGTAGCAGAGCCGTTGTCTTGGCTCCAGCCTTTCTCAGGGCCAATACTGCTGGAGAGAGTGAGGTGGAGCTTTGTAGCGGGGGGGGGGGGGGTGCCTAAGCCGGTGTCTGCTCTCACGCTGACCCGGCTTTTCACTTTGCCAACGCGTCGGGTGCACACGAACGAAGGGCCAGGCCCTCCTGAGCCCCTGGGCCCGCCGTTAACGCCGGGCAGCACGCGAGAGCACAGGGTGCAGCAGTGAACCTCTGCTAGGCGAGCGGTGCGCTCCGGCCTTCAACGGTTTTCTGCATCGGTACATCTGCATTTAAAAGTTAAAAACCGTTCGTGATTACCGTGGTGTATCTTAGAACTGTTGCTAATGTCGTGATTATGTTCTCTCCGGGCTTCTTTGTAATCTCGTACTTCTTTTCCGGTTAGTTTTTTTCTTTTTTTAAGGTGTGGGATATTCCAAAACAGGAATTTTCACTGAGATAGAATGAATCTGGACATACATGAGTAACTAGACTAAGATAAATTGCTTAAGCTTATCTCAAAATCAATCACTCAAAAATAGCAAGAGGTGAGATGATTTTTTTTCTTTTCTGCACTGAGTTCTAGTGCACTGGAATCCAGGTACTTGCCCATTTGCAGTTCTTAGAGTACTTCAAAGCTTTGGTGTTTTTAAACCAGTTTCTCTCTTGCACTTCACATGTAATATGTGGTTACTGTAGATTTGGACCTAGAAAAAGGAACTGGAAGTACCTTATGTTAGCTTAAATACAAGGTAGACTTTGAGGTCAAAATAAGTGTAGTTCTTATAATTTAGTTTTTAAGAGAAATTATGAAATCCTCTAATTTTTATGTCGATCAACTAACGAATGTAGGGAACAAAATACCTTATGTTCAGCAAGACTAACTTTCGTTAAGATTTTTTCCATCAAATCTGTTCAGGTGTTATTGTAGGCTCAGTAATGGCTGTTGCAACTGATGGAATCCAGCTTTAATCTGGAAAATCCCAGATAACGAATGTTGTTTAATGTTCTCTGCTAAACTTTTGCTGCCAATTCTTGGTAATATTTCTATACATTTCAGTTAATTTGTTATTCTTTAATTTTTTATTATGGGAAGGGACTCTTTGATACCTTTAATGTTAAGCAATTTATAATAAAAATAACTTTTTAGAGCCAACCTTCTTTTGATAAAATGATCATGTTCTATTGAATTTATCAGCACTGGGTAGAACGTTTTTATAGGGTGAATGTTACATTTTGTGAGCTTTTAATAATTATTAGGCACTAACATAGCAGTTTTTAACTAATTTTAAATTGTCTTAAAGGAACCCAGCCAGAATGGACCTCTTTTTACTGAGTTAAAGTTCTACATGCGAGCTGCTAAGCCAGATGAAAGTAAGCAGTCTATTAAAATGTTTTTAATCAACTACAAGCATTTAGGAAACTAGAGCCTACAGGAGTAAGGTCAAACTTTTAAGAGAATCTTTAGGTCATTTTCAAAATTATTTTTAAATGATTGAGATCTAGTTTAGACTTAGAGTAAAATTAGGTTGGTTTGTTTTGTTTGGTGTTTTTTTTTTTTTTTTTTGTGTGAGATGTTCTTTATAGTTCTGTTGATTGCATTGTCTCAATTGAAACTTCAGTTGAATCTCTGTCCCTACAACAAATGTGTCATTAACTTTCCAGTATACTTTGCATACAAGTTTTCATGAAATAAGCAGCTCACATGTATGCAGAAACTGTAAGTGATGCGAGTACTTCCTTTTTATGTAAGTCTCTGCTGATGCAAATTAATGAACTTATCTTTATTTGTATTTTCAGTTCAGAAGTGGACTAAGTCCCATAAACTGAAATATTTAGGTGTACCAAGATACTGGGGTTCTGGCTTGCATGAAAGAAACGGAAACAGGTGAATATATCTTTTGTTGGCATTTACTGGGATTTATTTCATCCTCAACCACTATGCCTTTTAACCTAATTTACTTTGTAAGATGTGTTTTCCACCTGTCTTCATGCTGATAATTTCTGCTACAAAGTTTCATGTTCATAACAGGGTGTGCTTAAGGAATAGAAAAATAGATACAAATACCAGTAACAAATAAAATGTATCTATTATATTCTTAGTGATTTAGTTTCCATTTGTCTGGAACATTGCTACCATACAGTGATGAGATATATATATATATATATATATATATCTATATATAGAGATATATATATATATATATATGTGGTTCAGAAGCTTTTCATATTTGAATTAAAATAAAGTTGACTTCTAATATATAAGTCTTTGAATAATATGACTACCTTTAAAGTTTTTCTTGTGTGGTGTGCACTTAAGGAGTATTTTCACTCACATATAAAGGACTCTGCCCTCTCTAAATCTATTTTATTTTCCCTAGGGATAGGGGTTTTCTTACTTAATCTGTGAGCTAGAATAATTGCTAGTTTCATGTTAAATTTGTCTTAAGTGTAGGGATAGTTTTTAATATTGTTCCATGTCATAAAAGGTTTTTGTTACTTGGTCTTGAATGTTATGCCTGTTTATATAACAGTCCTGGTTTCCTGATGGTTTTCTCTATACAACTGTGCTGCAAAGGAGTTCCAGTAATTCTCTGGCAGGTTATAGTAGGTCAGGCTTTTTTGTGTGACTGTACATACCACGTAGCACAGTTGGTATGTATGCACCAGTATGTCAGAAATATTGTTTCAGTAGATCCTCAACTTTAAATGAATCTAATGTAAAAACACATTAATTTTGAGAGGCAAAAGTAAGTATAACAAAATCGTATTTTTTTTTCCCAAATAAACTTTTCTTTGCATTCAGAGTGAGAGAGAGAATCTTTACTAGATTGATTCTTTAATAAAGCTACTATGACCTCTGACAGTAATAGAACCAGTTTGGCTATAGCAACACATCTCGGGACACCTGTGGCAGGCGAGATATTTTTGTTTTTAATAATAGGTTAAAAAAAGGGTTGTAATAATAGATTTCAAGAATCTAACTTTTTTTTAAGTAACTGTGTTAAGTCAATTACATTTTTTGCTTTATAAATGACTATTTCTGTAAGTGATGCTTGGTTCTACCTGTAGTGAATTACAATACAGATATTTTCCTCTGTGGGTACTTGTTATTGTATTGCATAACTAGCCAGGAATAAAGAACAGTTCTTTTGATGGATGAATTTTTGACTAGCTGATATAAAAACGTTAAGAATGATGTCCAACATTAAAAAGAAGTCAAGTATTCCCCACGTTTGTGTTCTGTATATCTGCAGTTTATCTTTTGAGGGGGGTGTTTTCACTCAGTAATCTGTACAGTTAACACAGATAAAATACTTTGCTAAGTACGATTCAGTAACTTTGCTGTTGTTTTTCCTTTTTCCCTTGAATTTAGTTATCGGTTTATGATAATGGACCGATTTGGCAGAGATCTTCAGAAGATGTATGAAGAGAACGGAAAGCAATTTTCCCGTAAAACTGTACTACAGTTGGGCCTGAGAATAGTAAGTTTAAAAAATATATTATATTTTTATAATCGGTCTTCTCTGTGTAAGTCTTTGGGTTAAATCACACTTTTGGGCTGAGTACAGGTCCTCTGCTGGGTGGAGCTGGGTACTACATTTATATGAGTGTGTGTTGTTTTGTTAGCTTGATATTCTGGAGTACGTCCATGAGCACGAATATGTGCATGGAGACATCAAGGCCTCAAACCTTCTTCTGAGTTACAAGAACCCTAATCAGGTATTTCTCATGCATTTTATTCCTCATGTTTTAAACCTTCTATTTGACAACACATGGAAGTGCTTTGAACCCGTGAAATCTAGCAGAAGCTCATTCTTAAGAATGTATATGGTAATGTTATTTCTGCTTGACATTTAGATCTAGTTAATATTCTACAATTTTTTTTAATGCATTTTGCTGGACAGTTATCAAATTGACTATTTGCCCTAAATAATATTCTAGAGAAATTCTCAAGATTAAAAAAAAAAAATAGTCTCAAATAGGCATCTGCAGGTGGAAGCTTAAAATTATATAGCACACTGGGAAATTATGTTTGCCTGTCTGCTTTGTTACCTCATTCCTTTGTTCAAGAAATCTATCAGATAAGCATTCTGTTACTTGCCAAAACTGGTCTTTAAAGTGTTGATTTTTCCACTTGATTTACAGAAGTCTGTCATTTTTCTGCATTTTTAACTTTTTTTACTATTCAAACAATGTATATTAGAGTTTCAGAATTATGTATGTTGTCTTGCCCAAATGTTTTAGCTCATGAAATAAATAAAATTTCAGTTCTCTTAAAGTAGCGGTCGTGTTAGTGAGAAGTTATAGGATGGAGCAGTGTTCAAATGAGACAGCAGACTTTGAGGAGGGTAGGACAGCAAGTGTATTTATAAGTTTCTGAACATTGTGCTTTTGGTTTTTTTTTGCACTTATTCTTACTGGTAATGAGTAACTATTTTGCTGTACTTGTCCTTTACATCAGCAAGAAACTACTTCCATATCAGATTGCCGTATGGAAAACAACAAAACCTATCTGGCACATTGTTTTAAAATCATATGTAGTAATCTCAAAAAAACATTGTGAAAGGATCATTTAAAGTGGAAAAACTCATCATTTTTGATACTTTTTAAGAAGTTCTGAGAGTGGTTGGGAGTTACATTTATTATTCGTGCATTTTTTTGTATTTACAGTTCTTTAATCTTCGATTTCTTTGTGGAAATTGCTAGGTGTACTTGGTGGATTATGGTCTTGCCTACCGATACTGTCCTGAAGGGGTTCACAAAGCATATAAAGAAGATCCTAAAAGATGTCATGATGGAACTATTGAATATACCAGTATTGATGCACACAAGGGTGTGGGTAAGGATGTAAAACTTCATTCTCAGTAATAGGCATTTTTATAAACACAAAAGACTTCATTTACTGCATTGGGTTTTGCAAACAACCAGGTTTCTCAATCTATAAAAATATTTTTTTCTTCTCTGTATACTATGCTGGCATTTTTTTTTTCCATTTACTAACTTTTACTGTGATATTAATCAACTGTATTTTTAATTTAACTTTCTTAAATAGATTTTACTCAGTTTATAAAGGCTGTTAAAATGTTTAGTGTATTGCTTTTTGTTAACTAAGTAAAAATAGAGTAGTGCTTGAGATCTTGATAGAAAAACAGGCCTTGTTTTTAGGAGATAAATAGTTTGTTATCAGTGTGAACATTGTTCCTTCATATTTTGCAGAGATGCATAATATTCTTTCTCTTGTTTATGGCTTAATATTTCTAATATTTTTAAATGAAACTTCATTTAATTATGAAACATTATTTAATTTTGCTTATAGTCACTGAATATCAAAAGGCAACAAATGAGAAAAGGTTTAACGTGAAAAGGACAGGTCTGTGGTTGATTAAACATTGAGGATTCAGAATGAACACCAATTTTATTTTCTTCATTCTTAAATTTTGTTTTATTAGCATAAAAGTGTGTCCTGGAAAAATACCGGTTGTTGAAAAGTATTTACTTCAGGATGAACTGTTGCACCTATGCTTAAAACTGAACATGAACAAAAATGTCTTGATTTGTCCATGTATATTTCTAGTGTTGGTCAGTGTTCATGTGGATTTTTTTTTTTTTTTGTTTGTTTGTTTGGTTGGTTTTTTTTTTTTTTTGTTTGTTTTTGGCAAGACTTAGAGATCTGATCTATGATTGTCCTCTGTTCAGTTTTCAGGCCATGTAAAATTTTTCATCATTGTGGAATATTTTTTTTCAGGAAGTTTTAACTCTATTACCTTTTTATAGAAGAAGGGAAGTAAAAACTGTTTTGAACAGAAAGTCAGTCACTTCACTAACTTGCTCTATTTTTTTCCACAATCGGAGTCCTTAAAAAGCTTCCCAAATTGGTATAAGTGCAGCATGTCATATCCTTCAGGAGAAGAAAGAGATTGATAAAGGATTTGAAAATGAAGTTGTCCTTCCAGATGTAGGAACGATATTTTTTCCTTCCTTTCTTTCATGCTAAAATAAGGAAATAAGTAAGAGATATAGTAGTATTACCTTGTTAGCGTTGGCTTTCTATTGTCTTAACATACTTACAAATTTTAACTGGTGTTAAACTGTGTGCTTTATTAGTTGCTCTTGTGGTTCTTTTTTCATGTGTGCATATATATTTAGCACCATCGAGACGCGGTGATCTGGAGATCTTGGGTTACTGTATGATTCATTGGCTTAGTGGCCACCTACCATGGGAGGATAATTTGAAAGATCCAAATTTTGTCAGAGACTCAAAGATCAGGTGAGAAACTACTGGTTTTCTTTCTCTTTTGAAGTAGAAAATAGGAAGGAAAATGTCTTGATGTAGAAATGTTTTATACTTCCAGTATGTTCCCCTTTGGGCAGTAGGCTATTGTTTTGTATACCCCCTAGTTTCCCTTCTCTGTGTCTCGTGTATCCTTGGCTTTTCATTAAACTTGTGCGGCCCTACTGTGTCTTCTTTTGCATACGTGGGAGGCTTGTTTATCTGGCACTTTAAAATACCGGCACTTTAAAATACTGCCATAGTTAAGTCAAAAAGCACTCCTCAGTTTGCAGGTCACCATTAGTCCTGCTTTGCAGAAACAACTGAAGCATGGGCTTATGAAGAGCCTTTATAACATCACACTGACACCAGTGGGAGAGAGGAGAGCTAAGGCTGGATCTTAAATGGCTTTGAGCATCATTCCAGCTAGAAGGCTATTAATGTGGGATTTTTGTTAAGGTTTTTTTTTGTTAAGGTCCTTTTTCTTCCCCTCACCCCCCACTCAACCCTCTTCTGTCAGCTATTTAATGTTGTCATGGTTTAACCCCAGTCAGCAGCTAAGCAGCCCGCAGCCGCTTGCTCACTCCTCCCCTCTCCCGGTGGGACAGGGAGGAGAATCAAAAAAAAAAAAAGCAAAACTCATGGGTTGGAGTAAGAACAGCTTAATAACTACAATAAAATACAATAGTAACAATAATAATGACAGTAATGAAATATAGTAATAATTACAATAATTGTAATGAAAAGGAATCTAAGGAAGAGAGGGAACTAAACCCCAAGAGAGCGTTGCACAATGCAGTGCTCACCACCCGCTGAGCGATGCCTGGGCGGCAGTCTGCCCCTCTTGGCCCACTTGCCCCAGTTTATATACTGAGCGTGGTGTTCTGTGGTCTGGAATATCTGTCAGCAGTCCTGGCTCTGCTCCCTCCCACCTCCTTGTCTACCTCCTTGCTGGCAGAGCATGGGAAACTGAAGAATCCTTAACTTGTTGATAAGTAGTGCTTATCCTAACTAAAACATCAGTGTGTTAGCGACATTGTTCTCACACTAAATATGAAATACAGTACTGTACCAGCTACTGGGAAGAAAATTAAATCTATCCTAGTCATAACCAGGACCAATATGAAGAAAGCTGTCCTAGCGCAGCAGTTTCTGGCTCATTAACAAGTATTTGTTTTCTGGCTTCCTCATCTCTACTTTTAACACTTTGGCCTTTATCAATGTTAGTGAAGCTCCACCCCTTCCCCGGAGATAATATTTTGGCAGGGGATCTGCTCTGAATAATATCAGCTAGAGAAAAACTCCTCTAGCAGGAAGAGGTGAGAGCATTGCTGTGTGAGGATTTAAAATGGACTGGTTCTTTTCCTTCAGTCTTCTACTTCCTTGCTTTTATAAGAATCAAAAACTGCTGACCAAAAACTTAGCGTATTTCAGATAGTCTGTCTGGCATTCAGCAGGCTCTCAAATGTACTGCACTCATAAAAATGTCTGTCCCAAGTCGTACCAAAGGTTTACCTAGTAGTGTTTCCTGTCTCTGACAGTGACCCAACCTAGGTACTTAGGATGTCTGGCAGAACAAGGCAAGACTCAGACTTTGAAAGAAACAATAGTTTTGAACAATTTTGTTTTTCAGATGTAGAGATAATATTTCAGTTTTGATGGACAAATGTTTTCCTGGGAAAAATAAACCAGGTAAGAGGAACTTTTAAATTAAAAGACTTAGGTTTGTGCCACGTGGTAAGCATTCTCTAATAATTTGGTTTAATGTCCTTTTTCTTTAAAAGAAAAAACTAAAAGCCATCAATCTGTTTGGGTGCCATCACCAAATTGTAGACAACTTTAGACAATGGATAGAAGCTCTGAAATTCATGTTTACATAGGGTGTGTTGAGTGCCTACAAGGGAAGGCTGTGCTACTCTGTTTCCAATAAAAACAGATGCATTCAGTTGCTGCAAAAGGTGAGGAGTTGTCAGACTGTCAGCAGCTTTTTTCCTGAGAGGTATGTCTCAGGCATTGTACTTGAATCTGTTGCTTCTTTAAGTCCTCGTTCATTACTTAAGTTTGTACCTATTTTTCTTCATTCCTTTATCAGCAACGACAAAGTGGTGTGAATTAGACTGTTGATTAGGATAAGTTTAAGTCTCTTGCTTTTGACTGCAGTTAAATGAACTGCAGACACTGTGTTGCTTCTGACTAAAGACAGTATTAAGTATTTGCTAACATGAAGCGTGTATGTTGATTTTTCATAACTGAATTTTAGAGATTCAAAATATAAATTAATGCAAACTTGAAGGCTAGATTGTTTCTATTTGGCATTTTCGTTTTGCTGAGTAATTTATTTTTATTTATTTTTTTAAAACTTGACTCTGTTAGAAGTAGACTTTCTTGGGATCTTAAATGTTTAGTTATTTCCAGCTATTCCTGGTGATCAGAAGAGAGTTTTCTCTGTCAAGTGTGACTTGTCTGGTTTTTCAGTGGTCAAATGTTTCATGTATTTTTTAATATATGTTTCAGTCTTGAACTGGTTAAGTTCTGAGATAACACTGACTTTCCTTTTCAACGTTTTTAAATATAGACATAAGAAATACCATGTAAACAAGTGTTCATTGGTGAAGATTGGCCCGTTATGTTTTTTTTTATGACTACTTTCTTCATTGCAGTGAATGTGTAAAAAAGTGATGCTGTTGTCACTGGGTAATGAACCTTGGTATAATTTTTTTCTAAAACGTGTTGTAGTAAAGTCATAGTTATGAATTTATAAATAACCATTTCAAAAAATAGCATAAGTACTACATGCATAATTTTGACTCTTTTGTGGTAAGAGTGAATGATTAAAATGTTTTCAGGTAAAAATTAATTGGCGGTACCATTTCTTTAGATGAAATAGCCAAATACATGGAAAAGGTGAAGCTACTGAGCTATGAAGAGAAACCTGTTTATCAGCATTTCCAAGAAATACTTCTGCAAGGACTTAAGGCTATTGGGCAGAAAGATGATGGAGTGCTTGACTTTGGCTTGTCTGAAAATGGAGACTTGCAAACAAATCCCATGCAAAAGGTTTTTACTCTCAAAATTTGTCAGCTTTTAATGCATTTTTTTTGAGCTAAATAAGAGTTAAAGTGGTGATGGAAGTAGGTGTCATAACTGCATCCAGTAGGAAATAAGTAAACACTGGAATGTTTGGTTAAATCCTACTCTTCTGCATTGTTTCTTTAATTTAACTTCACTAATTTTTATTAAGCCTTAGTACAGAGTGCTGTTTATAGGTGTGCTTTCCTAATGGATAATGTCTTAGATAACTGAATGTGTGTATATAGTTGTAATGACGTTTGAACAGGTGAACATTCAGTCAATTTACTTATTTTCCTTAAATTGATAAAACTCCAGATGGGTCAAAATACACGTAAGGTGAAATAAGTCTAGTTTTTGTTTCACATTAGTTTCATTTCTGTGACGAGTTTAAAGCTTTGTTTTAAGTATATGTCTTTATGCCCAGTGCTTGATTCTGGAATTCACATATTGAATTCACTGTCATCTAATATGTTACTTATGGGTCTTAACTATAGTGGTAAGATAGGGATATTTTATTCCTTGTATTTAAGAAGCCCTAAACTCTAGATTTGGACTTCCATTTGAATACAGTGTAAGAACTTTTTAAGCCCTAGGGAAATCGCGTGTTAAAACGTTTTTTAATAAGAATTAAAAATGGTCAAATAATGGAACAATAAATTGCAGAATCACAGAATGGTTTGTATTGGAAGGGACCTCTAGAGGTCATCTCGTCTGACGGTGCGGTGAGCAGGTACAGCTTCAGCTGCATCAGGTTGCTCAGAGCCCCGTCCAGCCCGACCTTGAATGTTTCCAGGGATGGGGCACCTACCACCTCTCTGAGCAACCTGTTCCAGGGTCTCACCACCCTCACTGTAAAAAATTTCTTCTGTATATCTAATCTAAATCCACCCTCTTTCAGTTTAAAACCGTTACTCCTTGTCCTATCACAACAGGCCCACTGTTGTTACTATCCTGTACTTCAGACTGCATTTATCACTTGTTTATTTGCATTTGCTAATAACAGGTGGACAGTTTATTGGATCCTTTAGCATGAATCAGGGAACTGAGCATTATAATACAGGATAATCGTACAAGAATTCTTCCTGCTTACTGACATGATCAGCAGTGTGTGGTGTGCAAAAATCATAGTAAAAAAAAACAGCTATAGGATTTTAAAGTGTTCTGAGGGATATATGTCCAGCTTTTCTTCTTTTTGCCCAGTAGATAGTACTCTGGCTAAAATCATACAGCCATGGTCTTTATACTAATATTTTCTGCTGAACTGAGTGTAAAGATCTGTCCAAAAGGAGGGTTCATTAGCATAAATTCTTCTGTTCCCCCTGTGGCTCGACATGGCTTGAGAACTGTGTTTTGGGGGAAAAAAAAAATCGTTTTTTAATGGTTGGCTGGTTTCTTTGCTGAATAAGTTGGCCTGCTGCAGAGCCAACATCTGTGACCTTTAATGTCCTTGTCCAGCAGAGATGGCTGGTGCACATTTCCAATGGACTAAAATTTCAAAAATCTTATTTCTGTAGCCAATATCAGTCAAGATCATTCCTAAAGGGTGGTATAATACTTTTTCATAAGTTCTTACTTGCTAGCATCAATTAGGAGTTAGCTTTTTACATTGGGGCTGGGGGCAGGGTGGGGTGTTGTGTGGTGGGTTTGTGTTTTGTTTCTTTGTTTGGTTTTGCTTTGTTTTGTTTTTTCACTTTGAGGAACCATATGCACGGTCAGCTTGCTCAGTTGTCACAAATCTGTTCGAGCACTTATATAAAACAAGGAGCATTAATGGCCCGTTTGAGTAAGTATTTTCAGCTGTCCACTTCATATTGCAGTGGACTTCACGGTAGCTACTCATGTCAGCTCCTGCTAGGGCGGCCAGACTGAGATTGTTTGCTAGGAATGAGGTGGACACAGCCTGCTGCTTTGCTTTTGACCAAATACCAGGACAGTCTTCCTCCTATGTGCGAGTTTCTAGGCCTTGAACCAGCTGTGGGTGTAGGCTAGAGTAGAAGAATAATTGTGTCAGTCCTCCTTCCAAGGGTGTATTTTGCACTTTTTCTTCAAGAATGAATGGAAAGACGGTGTTCAGCGGGACGTCTTCTGTCCTGGAATATGTGTTTGGAGCTCATGCTGCTGAGTTTTTCTTCCAGGGGGTATCGGACATTAATGAGAGGCTAGGAGAACAGGGAGACAATTTGTGCTGGTTGAGAATAGCTGGACACTTAGGCACACAAAGGAAGAGAGGAAGAACATAAAAATGCTAATTAAAATTAGATGTATTTTCAGCTGTGACAGGAAGCTCAACTTGATGACTGAGTGTTTTAAAGATAAGCTCCAAATTCCAAACTCTGTTAGAACCTGCTTTCCATACAGATAACTTGCCACTGATCAGTAGCATCTTGCCTCTGCAAGCCAGTATCTTCTAGCACATGCTGAATTTCTTTTGGCATGCTTAATGTCTAATTTGGAGAAGAAAAATGTAGTCTGGCTCCCACCTTTGAGAAGATGGCGACCTCTAGTATAGCGTATTTATGACATCTTGGCTGTACTGATCTTTTAATCAAGACAGGTCCTTGGACACCTACTCTTCAATTCCTGTGGGGCAATCTAACATAAATCTTTCTTTAAAAGAGTGTTATTTGGTGTTCTGAAGTTATGCTATTTCATATCTAAGAGCCAATGTTTCTGGCTTCTGTGTGAATAAATTAGAATGTGGGATTGTCCCGTGCTTTCAGCTCATATAGCAAATTGAACCCTCGTGTGCATTCTATGTTGCATATAAGCATGCTTGTTCTGGAATCTGTCATTCTCTAGTATTGGTATCTGGTTAAAACTCACGGATGTCTGCTGTATGCAAAGTTAACATTTTATTTTCTATATCATGGCTCAAGTTTCCCCAGCTGTCTAAGTAAATGAAACACAGTCCACAATTTCGCTGGAGGTTGAGGGTTTTTGGGGGGGGCTTTTTTTTTGTTTGTTTTTCTGTACAGTAAATGCATGTTGGTTTGTGTGTGTGATTTTATAATGGTTCTAGCAAAACCAGAAGCTAGCAGTACCATGTGTTGAAGGGAGTACATGGAGCTCTCGACTCAATTATTTAGGGCAAGGACCACATCTTACTTTTATTTAGTGCTGAAGAGTTGTTGGGAAATACTGGGAAAAATTGAACTGGAAAAATATGGATCTTAGTGATTTGTGGTTCCTTCTAATGTTCAGCTTCAGATGTGCAGGTGTTGCTTTTGTCAGATGAATGCTGCCTGATTTCTACTGCTATGTAATTCACCTGCATCAAGATTAAGAAACCACTTTTTATTAAATAAGCTTGGAAACAAGATAAATGTATTTTGCTTTTGTGTAGCATGTATTGGATATCTGTTTTTCTGATGAGCTTTTAAAATGTTTTCTGGTACAATTGGGAGGAATGCATTATCTCTCATATAAAAGCAGTACAGCGCTGAAATAGTCTTCCTTAATTTTGGTCAGAATGAACAAAAGTGTCTGTGTTTATTCCTGCCTAATGCATCACAAATCTGCTGACATGCTAACCTTGGAGTCTTGGCTGGCGGTAATCAGGCCTGTGCACCGGCAGGAAAGATGTACCTAATGCACTCCATCAGTGCAGTTTGCATATGGAAGTTCTCACAGGGGAGCTGCCCTGTGCCAGCTGAGGGTTACCTGCCCACTGCAGTTATTGTATGTAATTATCGAACCAATCTGTTCAGCCCAGCAGGGTTTAGATGGTAATCATGAAGCAACACTTTGGAAAGGAAAGATGTAATGCACTCTCCCCTTCTCTCATGAGCGATGTGAAGTTGTAGTCACTTTTAAAGCTGTATTAGTAAAGCTCTAATATCACAAAATTTAAAAAAAAAAAAACCCAAAACAAAAACAAAAAACCCCCCAAAACAAACAAACAAACAAAAAAAAACAACAAAAAAACCCCAAACAAACCAACAGAAAAAAACCCAAAACAACCAAAAACAAAACAAAAACTAAAACCCCCACAAAACTAAAAAAGGAAAACATAAACTCTTCCAGTGTTTAGCAAAGTCGTCTCTGTCTAATGCAGATAGAGGCCAATTTATCCTTTTCAAAAATCATGTGGCTTTAAAAAAAAAAAAAATCTTTCCATAACCACCTTAAGAATACTTTGCAATAGTAAGATTAATTGCAATAAACAACTAATAACAGTTGTATACATTTAGAGGTTTTAAGATAATGAACCTTGAATAGAGTTCAGGTTTCCCAGTTCCTCTCTTTGGAACAGAACCCATAGCTGCTATTAGAAAAAAATAATAATGTACTGTCAGTGGGTGTTAGCTGCTTTTAAGCTGTGCAAAGAAAGCCTTAAGTATAGTAAGGTTCCAGGTAAACTTGAATTTAATGAGGTGTATTTGCTTTTAAAAAAAGCAATTAACATCAACTTCAGGTAAATCGTTTTTCTGTGTTAAGATTCTTCAGATCGCTCCTTTTGTAACAGTTACTTGGTGTCAATAAAAAAACAGGTTTTGGTCATAAAAACTTGTGTTTTCATATGTTAAAACTTCAACTCCTAATGTGATCTGCAGATAGGGGAACCGAACTTTTAAATTGTCTATTGCCTACTACTAGTATTCTTGCATTAATATATGAATAAATTTTCTCTGCAACTGGAGTTGTTTTATAATATGTTAAGAAAGAATGGTTAAAATTGGGGAATGTGTTGTGAGGATATTTTCTTTGTATGGTCTTTTCTGCTCTCGAGTTCAACTGCCATTTTTTTTTCTTCTTTTTTTTTTTTTCTTTTAGAAAAAAAGAAAGGCAGCAGCCGCAGCCAATGAGAACACTGAAGCAGAAATGGAGGATACAGGAAGTCCGAAAAAAAAGAAACCGACTTCTTCTAGTAAGTCAAAAGATTGTTCTCACGAGTTGCATGTGTTGGTGTGGCAGGTTAACCCTGGCTAAGGCCAGACTCCCACCCAGCCACCCACTCCCTTCCTCGGGAGAAAGTAGGATGCAGAAACCCTCATGGGTCAGTGCAAAGTTGGGGACATTGCTCACCGTTTACTTTTGTGGGCAAAACAGTCTCAGCTTGGGAAAAAGAAATTTAATTGATTGCCAATTAAAATGAATTTGAGTAGTGACAAAGAGAAACACTAAAACACCACCTTTTTTTTCTCCTTCTCCCAAGCTCAACCTCTTCACTCTAGACTCTTCTACCCCCCTCCCTGGGTGGTGGAGTGCAGTGGCACTGTGTTATGGTCAGGACATAGCGTCTTCTCTCTGCTGCTCCTTCCTCCTTACATTTCTCCTCTGCTCCAGTGTGGGCTCTTTCTTTTGGGCTGCAGTCCTTCACGGGGGAAAAAAAAAAAAAAATGTGGTCCAGTTCCTTCAGGAAATACCCATCTGCTCCAGTGTGGGCTCTCCCACGAGTTGCTGGTGATATCTGCTCCATCCTGGGTCCTTCGCGAGGTACAGGGAATATCTGCTTTGGTGCTGTGGAGCACCACCTCCTCCTCTGACCTTGGTGTTTCCCCTGCTGTTCTGCACTCTCCTCCCTGCCCAGCCACCCCCCTGCCTACCTGTCCAGTGGTTTTTGCCCTTTCTTAAATGTTTTCACAGAGGTGCCCCAACCAAGTTGGGCTCACTTTTGGCCTCCAGCGAGTTTGTTTTGGAGCCAGCTGGAAAGGGCTGTGCCAGGCACAGGGCAGCACCCGGCCTCTTCCTGCAGAGGCCACTGCTGTGGTCAGCCTGAGCTGACTAACACCCTGCCACAGGGCTGCATATACCCAGCACAGCTGCTTACCTTTCGCAGTTGAAATGCTTTTGATAGTTCATAATTTATTTGTAGCTTAATAAAATTTAAATACTTAAACTTTCTGTTTAAGGAAGGTATACCCTCCAATCACATGCTGCCTAAAGCTGGTAGAAATGCTAGCTGATAAAAAATTGGTGGTTGCGTCCTGTTCTTTTGCTGTCATTCATTCTTTCCTCCAGTTCTTGTTTTTGTCCTGTCTTGTCCAATTCACTGTCAGAAACTGATGATTCCTCAGGACTTCCTCATCATGGTGTGTTAAAGCCAGGGGCTAGCAGCAGCAGCTTCCAAAAGCGAGTGTATTTAAAGTTGAGGAAAGGATCAGCTATAAGGATGGCAAATGCTGAAGCTACTTTTCAGATAATTTGGCATAGTTTCAGTGTTGTCTGGAAAAAGTCATGGACAGATAAAGTAGGATTATTTTAAGTCCAAGATCAGAAATCTTCAGTAGATCTGAGGAGGATAAGCTTCTGGTGGCCAGTCTAACTGTTTTCTGGATCTAACCTTCTAACTCCTTCGTGTAGATGTGAACTGAATTCAAGGAACTGCAGAGATATTTTTCCTAAAGAATTTTTGATTCAGACTTTTAAGTAAAAGACCAGACGTTGTCTGTGGTCAAGTAGTCTAAAAATGGTAAAGTAGTAGCACTGGAGTCTACCCCCAAACCAAATCTGCTTGTTTAAAAAAAGTTTGATGAAGGAGTATGGCCGGCTGGGAAAAATGCAACATTTCAAGGACAGGAGTTTTATTGGTAAGTTAGAGATTTACCCGAGTATATTTACCCCAACAGTACGGTACAGTGTACAAGTAATTAAGCTGATGTTATTCCAGAAGGTGACACTGCTCTGTTCATTTTCAGCTGTTCACATTATAGAATTCTGATCATTAAAGTCAGTGATTATTTCTCTTACTTGAATGCCTTTTGAATTGTTGACTTCAGTTTATTATGAATTTTCTAGTGTGTCGGTGGCTGAAAAGGTGTTAATTAGATTGTACTTTCTTTCAAGGAAATACAATTATTTGATATGATGCTGATGTTTATTTATAGTTTTAGCATTTTAGATTTCATTTAAGACCGTATAACAAAACATTTGATACAGGTGACTATTTTCAGGTTGTGATTTGATACATGTAAACAAAATATACTTTCATTTTATGTTATATATTATACTTCTTTTTTTCCTGGGATTGTAGATTGAAATTCCCATAGACAGAAAAGAACCTGAGGAGTTGCAGTCCAAGTGGTAGCATCAGCTTTTTGTAAATGCCAAGTTTTTTCAGATTAGGTAAAGGTATTTAAGAAGTTATATATATTTTCAACATCCAGTGGTTAAACTGAGTGATGGACATAAGCTTAAATTTATACCTCCTCTTGCCAGTTTAATAGTTACAGGTGAAATGGTTCTAATTCCACCCCTTTATACTACCCAATTTAATGAATACCAGGTGGGGGGAGGATATCAAATGATTTCAGGTGAGAAGTGATACATGTACTTACTCATTTTGTTCTCTCCACATTTGGAATTAAAAACTTATTACATGATTCATAAATCTGTTGAAGGAAAGGGCAACTGTTTCATAATCTTATGATTTTAATGCTTTTGATAAATTGAAAATAGCTAATTGTTACAGAAACACTTAAAACTGTGTTTCCAAGTCTGACTAGTTTTATGTTACCATGGACTTGTTTCTCTGTTATGAGATTAGTCCCGTGACTAAGAAAATATTCTGAAGTTTGCTGCCCAGTGAAATGGATGATTTATTGATACCTCTTAATTGTAGAAATTGAAGTTTAGTCATACAGGAACCTTTTAAAAGTTCTTGAAGTGCTTTTTTACTGGTTTCTAAAAGGGGATAAATACGGCTGAAGAGCGGTTACTCTTCTGGTGTTCAAAGAACATCTCACGAGTGTTCGGACCTAAAACAGCGGCATGGAGAGCCGTGCGGCCTCCTGATGTTCAGTTAATCAGCTTTAACCGCATCTGACTGTGCGGTTTGACGAGTCCACTCCAAAAGATTAATTGGCCCAAAGAGATCCTGATCAGCTGTGCAGCAGTGTGAGCACACCAGGGTGCTCAGTGCCCACAGGGGACTCCGCCAGTCATGACATCTGCCGCTGCTAAGGCTGGAGAGCTAAGGTGGAGGAGGAAGAAAGAGTGGCACTGAGAAAGGATGGGCATCCTGACATTCCTGTTCCTTCCATCTGCTCCCCCTGGCTGTTCTCAGCGTAAGGGTGGCCACTTCAGAGCAGTTCATTAAAGGCCATCTCTTTCCGTCATGTCACAGCCATCAGGGTTTCTGGAGCTGTCAAGCAAGACTGTTAGAATCTTCTTTTTAGAAACAGAATTTCAGAAACCCCGCAAGAAACATGCTGTTTCTTGTGTCGTACTTCCAAAATAAGATGAACAAGATTTTGTGGAATTCCTAAATTGTTTTTTCGTTGTATTAGCATGTTATCAGTTTCTATTTTTCATGTGATAACCGGAGCCCATATGCTTTTCCGAAAGCTGGAATTTTAAGAGGTGTCCTTTTTGAGGTAATATGGGTGATGTTGACGTATTACGTTAGTCAGTCTCTCTCCACCAGGAAAAATGCTATCAGAAGAGATGATTTCTATTTAACTGAAAAGTTTTTTTCACACTCTATTACTGTGCCATTTTCAGTATTAGCTGCCTTCATGTTGGATAGTAAAATATACGGGCTTATAGATGATGATACTGTTAAAGCAGAACACCAAATTTTGGCATGCACTCTACATACCCACCGACGCTTCTGCAGGGGTGTACTGCATAATATTAATAGGACTAATATGCTTATTTTTAATCAGTTGGTTTGAAGGAGGCAGCTAGTATATGGAACTGAGGTGAAAATGCCAAAAATGCCGGGAAAATGAGTTTTGTGAGAATTTGTAAATAATCGCATGTTCAGAGCTACCAGTAGAGATAAAGCCTCTACCACTAGCAGGTTTTTTTCAATCTTGGGGTTGATGAAGATTGGGCTGTGGAAGTACAGAATTGTTTTAGAACAGATTTTTTTTATACCAGCCTTTTTGTCTGTTGTGATTTTTTTTTTTTTTTAAACAGTTTCGGGGTATAGAGAGAAGTACTAAAGTTGACGTGACAGTGGAAGTGCTGTACTTGTTTAATGTACTTTAATAGTCAGTCCTGCTAGGGGTAGGAATTGTGCACGTCTGTATTGCTGGATAGCAATCTAGCATGGTAAGGCCTTAACTGGGGTCTTTGGTTACTCTTGCAATATAAATAAAGAACTACGTGAGCAGCTCCGATGTGAAAACAGTCATAGTGATGGATTGGTTAGAAGACGTCCCAAAATGGAGGTTTAATAGTATTTCTCAATTAATAGGTACTTAGCTGTATGTTTATTTACATTGCATGGCTTTGCATGAATCAGTCTCTGAGTTATTGTCTTAGAAATATTCTTTTTTTTAACTTATTCAAGCAAGATTTATTGCTTAATGTTGGATTAAATTTACACTTAGACTGATTTTTATATTTAGAGAATTATTGGCCTTGTCATCAAGCTTTAGGAGAAAGCAAATCATATGTGTTTTTTTTTTTTTTTTTTTTGATCTTGTGTATGGCGCCACTTGTTACTTGTCTTTCTACTCCACACCAATGACCACATTCTAGATAGATTTTTACCTCTTAATTTTATACCCTAATACAAACATTTTCAGAAAACCTGTACTGTGCAATAATTGTTATTCATCTGTTCCTTCTTGCAAAGAATTTGGTATTGACTGGTGTCTGTAACAGGCTCCAGGAGTTAAGTGGATATTAGTCTTAAAACAGTATTTCCATTTGTGACGAGTGACCAAAAGGTCCCTGCTGTGCCGTCCTTAGCCTTCCCTTACCCGTCTCAGGAGCGTCGCAAGTGAAGTGCTCTGGTACGAGAGTTATATGATCTGGTTTTAGAAGTTAGAAGCCTGTGTTGCTGTGTTGTATCTGGAAATTAGCAGGAAGATTCTGGTTTTAGAGCGGAGGAATACTGCTTGCAGTTGTCAGAAATATTGACAAACTCGCTTCTGTGTTTTGCATTAAGTATATTCCAATATGGTGGGAATTGAG